GGACTACAATTCACTCTGCAGCAAGCAAGAAAAGCTGACAGGAAGGGGAGAAGCCAGGGCTGCTAAAGCTGCATAAAGCCAATTTTTTCCTTCATACTTTCTATCATGGTTCCTGAGGGGACGCTGCAGGTTCACTCCTGAGCTCCTGCTCAGTGCAATACAGGTTCCTCAGGGCTTTCCAAATTACGTTCACCTCTAAATACAGAACATTTATGCAAAACTGAAGCAAGGTAAGCATCTCGTTCTGGAAAAATAATCTTGGTACAAATGCTTCCCTCCAAGTGACCACCCCTCCCAATTCCTCCATCCCCATTCAACTCCTAAACTGGCCACACAGTGTTACTGAAATGTGTTAATCTGATAGCAGCTAAACCAATACATATTCAATTAGACTTTTAGTTGGCTTTGTTTTGGTTTTAGCCAAAATGTACCTCTTAGCTGCCTGACAAAGCTTGCTGGATACACAGACTATCCCCACTCCTCACATACAGCACCAGCATCTCCTTGGGGTTCCTTTTGCTTACATAAGCAATTTTATTTGTCCCAAAATTCTTCATCCATGTAATTACCATACAATCATTTAACAACAAGAACTGACAATTTTTAGCACTTTTATTCTCTTTTTTAATTTATTAGTTCCCTTAAAAGGTGAATCTAGTGTCCCCACAATGGCAGTCAGGATCTTATTTTTTGAAAATACTGAACTGACTAATCGATTTGTTTGTACTGTAATGACAAACATACACAGTCATTTCAATAATCCCAAATCAAACTGTTACTGAGCTTTAATATTGTAGATACTGGGTCTTTAAAGCCTGGAACTGTCACATACTAATAAATTCAATAGGTATAATTTATCTAAAATCTACACATTACACCTAAGAGTATATGTTACGAGAAACACACTGATTTAAGCCAGGTGTCAGAATACTTGTCAGCTTGAGGCCATTTTGAGTACTTCAAGTTGTCTATTAAGGATATACTTCCCCACAGGAATCTACTTACCTCACCTGGATTTTACAGAACAGTCTGGGTTTATTGTAATAGCAGCACTTCAACTCTTCTGAATATTCTTTCAAATACATTACTTAACGTAGTCTTTTTCAAGTATCTTGCCAAATGGCCACAGTGACATCTGGTCTGACTTGTGCAAAGTGTCTCACTAGGAACATTAAATTCTTTTCCCACGTTGCCCAACGGGAGGATGCTCATGTTCCTTCCAGGAGCAGCCAGCTCAATACGGAAGGAAGATGCATGCAATGTGAAAGAGTGCTGCCTTGAAAAAAAAATACTCGTTCATCTTCTCTTTAAATGGAGGATTTGAATATTTTTTCCTGAATTCAGTGTTCTCTCAAACCAATAACTTTCTTGGCCTCTGATGGCTATTTGTAGTGTTCTGCTGAAGGTTTTACATGCAAGCAGTTCCTATATATCATTCTCTCAATTGTACTCTTTGAATTTCACTTTCATATTGAATTTCATAGGTGATTTACTTTCTCTTTGACTACTACCTCCTGAGAAATAATTCCATGAATGAAAATAAGGGGTAGATATCACTCTTAGGTGTGGATCCAGTGGGAACGCACATGAAATGCTGTGAAAGTCCACAGTATGTGATGCTCACAACAATCTTAGAAAACACTTTCATTAATGACCTACAAGAGGGAGAGAACAATATTGAACAATGGGAGGAACTGCAAGCTACAATGAAAATGTAAAAATATAGAGCTCCCTTGAGCAGATAGAAACTCATGCAAGGAAAAAAAAATACAATTATGTGAAATTATTATGAAGACGGGAATAAAGATTAATTGTCAGCTGTCTTTTTCAAGGGGCATTAAATGATGCTAATAGATTCAAAGCAAGATTTACTTCACTTGTGCAGTTCTGCTGCAGAATGTCTTGCTGAGGGATATTAAGATATTTACATGTGTTCAAAATCCCAGGAGGCTGTCAAAGTACTCAGTAAGTATCACTAGACAGATGCCCTGCTTTCATACTCTTCTTTAACATCCACTTCTTGCCAGTGCCAGAGCAGGTTGGGCTGTATTATGCTTGTCAGCCAAAGTTAATAAAGTGCCATACGAAACCCAGAACACTGAAGGGAAAATCCTGAGGATAAAAAAAATCTGTCTAAAAAAACCTGAAGTGACTGAATTAGATAAATAGAAAGAAACAAATATGAAGGCAAGTAGACCAGTGCTAATCCAAGGCTGTTTCTGCAAGGACTCAGAAGTCCAGCTGAACTGGTGTGAACACAGCCAGTGTGCAGCTGTAGGCATGTGGTCCCTTATCTCCAGGAAGACTGACAGGCAGGATGGGCTTCACAGAAGAACAACCACATGATTAAGAGACTAGCATGTGATTTATGAAGAATGATTTAAGAAAAGATCTTCACAGCTTGCTTAAGCGATGAAGAAAACCAGAAGTGACAGCCAGAAGAAATAGCTTAGATTTATTTAAAAAGTGTGAACATCATAACAAGGGAGAAAGAATTAGGGTCATACAAAAGGGGCTGAAGTTGAAAAGGAACATGAGGTGAAATATCAAGAAGCATGACCAAGGCTGGGAATCATCTTGTCACAGCTTGTGACACACAAAAAAGTATGTACAAGGAAACTTCATAGAAGATGTGGTAAGGGACAAGCGGGTGCTGACCCACTGGAAAGATCAGTGGTGCTCAAGACTCCTACGTGACCTTGATGCTCACCCTGGCAGGGTGCTCATGCTCACACACAACAGACACCACAGAAATTCTGCTGGTTTTCATCATTTCCCCTTTCAGGATAAGCAAAAGTGTTACTCACAAACACTTTCTCCTGGAATACATGTGCCATTAGCAACACCTGATATTCAGAACAGTCACACCATGGAGTGCTTCTGCTGTCCAAGTTTAACCTGATCTCTAGGGCAGAAGGGTCACAGTAAGGAGCACTCCTAGGTTTAAAAATTCTGCAGTACGGAAGAGTAGACAGTTGTTCCTTAGCCAGCTGCAGAATGACATGCTGGCAGCAAGTCAGTGACAGCTAAGACTTGTTAGCCACTATTTCACTCCCAAATCAGATAAAACACTGAGACTCAGCACTAGAAGGATGCTCCAGATGCTGAAGCAGTACATGCAGTGTCCAGCTCTGTGCTGTCTGCCACAACATCTCCTCCGCCTCATGTGTAGTGAAGGCCCTCAGCTCTGGCCAGAGAAATGGTGACTCTGCAGTTCAACATATACTGTGCCACTAGATGAACCTCTTCCTTGAAAAGGCCCTTTATGGGAAATCAAAGGATCTTCTTCCCAGCCCAGCATCAGTCGGTGGGTGCAGGCAACACTAAACTCCCAACAGCTCTCTCCTCTCTTGACTTGATGTCCTACAGGGTCACAAGTGGAGAAGTGACCTTCCATCCATCTCACTCTCTAGAGGCAAAGCATCAGGGCCTGTTGCTCAGAGCAAAATCCTAATGCGTCAGGTAGGATTTCAGATGATGGGCCATTATTTCTGAAGATCAGTGGAAATCCTGTCAGCATGCAGGCTATCTACAAGCTGTTAGGTCAGCAGGAGCCCTGCCAGCACAACAGGATAAGAAGGCCAACTTTCTTTTATAAAAAGTCACTCTTGATTGAGCACAAGAATGAGGGTGGTGAGGGTGGCTCAGGACTGAGGGAAAAAGGGCTGCCCTTTTGTTTGGGAGGATATCCCCGTCCCTGCACAGGGTCTTGCCTCAGCAGCTTCCAGCATCCACGTTATCTTGCTAAATGCCCTCTGAGCTACCTTCCAAACCCAAGAGGGAGCAGCCTCCTGGGCAGTCTCTTTAGTAAAAAAAGAACACAGGCTGAAGGAACAGATCAGCGGGTGCTGGGCACGCAGGAGGGACTGAGCAGAAGGAGGAACCAGGGAAACCAGGACCCTCCCAACACCATGTGGCAGTCAGGCCAATGCCTCTTGTAGAAACTGCTATGCACCAGGCACAGAGGTCAGCCACTGCCACTGTGCAGGGGACCAGGCCAGTTTAATGCCCAGCCAGCCAAGAAACATCACCTGCACCAGCAAAAATGGGTTCAAGGCTTGGCGATTACAGCCCTGTGCCTCGTGCAGCAACCTGATGGGAGCGGGGCATGGGGAGGAGAGAGGCACCAGAAGCTGCTGGAGTCCACCCTTGTGAATGTCATGTTTGATCTGTCCAGGCACATCTGTGCCTCCCACGCTGTACACAGCCACTCTAAGTCTTCTCCGGCTTTTTGGGCTGTAACGATTGCTTGCATACTGGCTGCCATGCACACCAAAGGCTGGTGCTGGCACAGCCCTGTGGCTCAGGCTGCTCTTACCGCCGGAGGATTCACCACACAGTGGCGATACCCCACACAGCCTCATTCTACCTCCTCACAGTGGCACGACAGGATTGGCATGCAATTAAACCCCAAACATTAAAAATCATTAACAAAAAATTATCCCCAGAAACTTTCAGGGAAGCTTCACTCGAGGAGGCAAATGCAGTGAATGTGCAGAGATGGTACAAACACCTCACTGGGACTCACCCATCATTCCCATGCTGCGGTCCTAACCACAGCGGTACTAGCTGCCTACGACATCCCTGTGCATCCTCCTGTGCCCAAAAGAGCAGAGATGAGCTCTCTCCCTCCCACACTGCCCACCCAGACCCGGTCTCCAGGAGGCTCTCTTCTTGCCTATACCACTAAGATCTCAAAACGCTGTGGTCTTTCCTTGCACACCAGTTTCCCTTCAATGATTTAGGATTCCCTCTGTTACATGCCCCCCGAATCACCAGTACCACACACCATGTACAGCACACATCGACATACAAACACCAAATACAAATCTGCCAGGAACAGCTGATCTGGCTGCCTGCCCATCGAGAGCAGGGGAGTGGACAGCCTGGGGAGGTTTATTCAGAGCAATGTCAGCCTTCCCATGCCGCTACCTTTTCTTCAGGGAGGGATGAACGTGGCTGAGAGGAGCAGGATAAGGGGTTCTGAGAGATATGATTACCTGTATCCTGTCTTCTGGCAACTCTGTTTTCATGGCCAACATCTCTCTAGCATATACGTCAGGATAGTGGGCCTCATTGAAGGCCTTTTCCAGCTCCTCCAGTTGGTAGGATGTGAAGATTGTCCTGAGGGAAGTAAAACTCTTTGATCAAAAAACAGAAGAAGCAGCAGCAAAGATGATGAAGAGTCAGAGAAATGGACACAGAAGCTAGAGAAACCTGGGTAACCTGCTAAGGCACAGCTTTCCCTCATCTCCTGTGCTTCTGTGCACAAAAGGTCAGGTGCCAGGGTGAAAGGAGAACCAGAAAATGCCAGAAGACAGCGCTTTAAACAGTTACAAATCACCTTCCCTTTCAGGGACTTGCCTCTGGAGACGGTCCCTCCCCAGCAGTGAGCACCCGCAACCAGCAGCGATGGCAACTGTTCTCACATCTCGGACTCTGCTGCCTCTTGTAAGGATCGTGGGGGTGTCCTTATCCCTCACCCCCCCTACAACAGCGCACCCACCCCTGGCCTGGCTTAAAACCACCTCCCCCTCCTCCTCTCGCATCCAGAGGTTTCTTAACCCTTTGATAGTCACGCTGAGATAAAGCAGCATCCCCTCAGCACCCAGTCTGGAGGGGTGCTGAGCCCTTCTCCAGCTGCTGGTCCTTAGCCTCTTCAATCTCCACGAGTAAATAATCCTCCCCTGGAGCCCCGATCCTCCATCCTCGGCTGAATCCTCCAAAGGTTTTAACCATTCTGCTCCCTGCTGCTTTTCACCAGTCCTTCCCCACGAGAGCCAGTGCCAGCTCCCTTCCTCTGCCTTTACCCTGGTTGCTTCCACTCCGATATCCCATTAGCTGCTCCCTGCCAGTTTGCATTACCCCATTATCCTCTGGAAATCCTCCTGGACCGCCCTGGGCGGGCAGCAGCCCAACCTGCCTCTGCGCAGCCAGTTCTCAGCTCGGGACAACCAGATTGAAAAATCAGCAGCTGGAAAGCCGAGACGGATGAAAGCCCTTCTCCAGGGGATGGATGAGAGGTCTCGGACCACTTCCACTCCCCCGAGGGTTAAAACTCCCACCCTCCAACGGCCCCCACACACACACACAAAATGCAATTTTTTATAAAAACTAACACACTCCAATGGCAAAAAAACCCCAATCAACGAATTGCGGCATTTGTTCAAGGTAAATGTATAAATATACTATCCAACTAAGAAGCATGTAGCTCCCAGAAGGGGGAAGGAAAAAGGAAAAAAAAATCTTTTTCTAAAAAAATCCAAATTTCAGAAAAGACCTGCCATTCCAGAGAGCATAAACAGAAAATCTCAGAAATATCCTCCGCTATTCAGACTCGAAAGGATTCCACCAGATCGATAACATTACTAACAAAAGCAGCATGCAAATGCAAGGGACCTGCCTGCAATCAAAACCCCTTCTTTAAATTCACTCCTAAATCCATTCACTTTTCAAACAGTTTTTCCTTCAGCTCTGACAAATCTGTGAACTCTAGGGACAACAGACACACATTAACTCATGTATTTTTCTCTCTCTGGGACCCCAGGAAAAATTATTGCAATTTTGATCCCGTTTAGATTTCAAGAATTCCCCTCCACCCTCCCGACAAGAATGCCGAAGCCCAGCAAGGCTCACTGGCGGGAGGGTTTTGCCTGACATTCAGCTGAAGTTTTCCCCTTTTAGCTCTCATCCCTGGGTAGCCCCTGTCCCTTTTGCAATACACAATCCACCATCCCTTTTGGTGCTTCTATTCTGCAGCTATTTGCAGACTATTGGCTTGTCATCTCCCAGCCCTTTCTTGGTACAACTAGAGGTCTTAACCATTTAGTACAGAATATACAACTACAGCTAAACGTTGCAGGTCTGTTTCTGTCTAGAACTGAAAATAAAACAAATCTGAATTTTGTTTCCTCTCTCCCATCCAGACCATGACCTGGACACCAGCCCCTGCTGTGTCTTCACCTAGCCCTGTCCAGTCCACAAAGAAAACGAACCCGTATTTACTCCAGAGCACCCAAACTGGGAGAATTTGCCTGGCGAGGGATCCCGGCTTTGGGATGAGCCCTCCAGACCAAGCCTCCTGTTGCACGCATAGCAGGACGTCTCCTGGGATAGTCGGTCTCCTTCCACCCCGCATCCTGCTAAGCTTTCACTGGGGCATCTTTTAATCCACCCTTCCTGCATCGTGGCAGATTGATTTAATTATTCCTAAATCACCCTCTGTGGATGGTGTCTGGCCTTCCTTTGTCCTGACTCTCCAGCCACAGCAATGCCAGAACCCAGCACGGGATTTTTCGTTTCTGTTTATAAGGCGCAGACTATCCAACTCCATTTTAACTGTGGGAGAAGTCAGGCAAGGTCTATTACCCTGACCGTTCCCGAGGGGAAACCAAATCCCCTCCGGATCTCCCAAAGTGGATCTCCATTTCTTTAACCAATTCTCCAGCCTTCTTCAGCTTTTCTGCAGGCTGTGGCTGATTCCCAACTATTTAATCTATTGGCAAAACATTTATGTACAGGTAATACAATATTTAAATCATTGATAGAAATTCTCTCTTGCTGACAGCCAATATTAAGATGGCTATGTGCAAAGCAGGGGACGTTTTTGATGATTTCGGAGAGGTTGATGATTTTTTTTTCCCCCTGAACACTGGTGATCCACATCCCACCCAAACGCTCACAGGCTGCTCAGGCTTGCGGCTCGGCATAGCTGGATCCGGAGCCAGAAAAATTAAATAAAATGACACCTGTGGCCAATCCCCTCTCTCCCTAAAGTCCCCAAATCCGATTTTGGACAGGGAGAAGGAAAAAAGGAAAGGGCCCGGGGGAGAAGCCGCAAGGGCGCCGGGGCTCTCCGGCGGCCGCTGCCGGGAGGGGTATTTCGCTCCGGGCCGGAGCGGGGCGGGGCCGCCGGGGCGGGGGGGGCCTGCGCTGCCCGGGCCCCGGGGGGGGGGGGGG